CTCTTCGAGGATCATGTTCTCCTGATACCAAATTAGAATTTTCAGCCAGATGAACCATCCTGTTCACGAGATATTGCCGCTAAAATATTTTCCGAAAAACCTCTGTATCAGGAGAACCACTGACCGGAGAGTTTCGTCATGCCACCTCTGCGAGGCTAATGTTCTCCTGATACCAAATTATTATTTTCTGCCAGATGTGCAATCCTGTTCACTTGATATTAGGGTTTAAAAATTTTTCGAAAGACCTCTGTATCTGACCGAAAGTTCTAGTTTGGTATCAGGAGAACATGAGCCTCGAAGAGGTGGCACGACATATCCCGCCGTTAAGCGGTTCTCCTGTTACAGAGGTTTTTCGAGAAATATTTAAGCGGTAATATCTCGTGAACATGATGTTACATCTGGCTGAAAATTCTAATTTGCTATCAGGAGAACATGAGCCTCGAGGAGGTGGCACGACAAAGCCCGCCGTTAAGCGGTTCTACTGATACCGAGGTTTTTCGAAAAATGTTTAAGCTGTAATATCTTGTGAACAGGATGGTTGATCTGGCTGAAAATTCTAACTTGGTATCAGGAAGACGTGATCCTCGAAACGGTGGCACCACGAAACCCGCTGATCAGCGGTTTTCCTGATACACAGGTTTCTCAAAAAATATTTAAGCGGTAATATCTCGTGAATAGGATGTTACATCTGACTGAAAATTCTAATTTTGTATCAGGAGAACATGAGCCTCGAAGAGGTGGCACGACAAAGCCCGCCGTTATGCGGTCCTCCAGATACAGTGGTTTTTCTAAAAATATTTAAGTGGTAATATCTCGTGAACAGGATGTTACATCTGGCTGAAACTACTAATTTTGTATCAGGTGAACATGAGCCTCGAAGAGGTGGCACGACAAAGCCCGCCGTTATTGCGGTTCTCCAGATACAGTGGTTTTTCTAAAAATATTTAAGTGGTAATATCACGTGAACAGGATAATACATCTGGCTGAAAATTCTAATTTGGTATCAGGAGAGCATGATCCTCGAAGAGGTGGCACGACGAAACCCGCTGTTCTGCGGTTCTCGTGATACACAGGTTTCTCAAAAAATATTTAAGCGGTAATATCTCGTGAACAGGATGTTACATCTGGCTGAAAATTCTAATTCGGTATCAGGAGAGCATGATCCTCGAAGAGGTGGCACGACGAAACCCGCTGTTCTGCGGTTCTCGTGATACACAGGTTTCTCAAAAAATATTTAAGCGGTAATATCTCGTGAATAGGATGTTACATACGGCTGAAAATTTTAATTTTGTATCAGCAAAGCATGAGCCCCGAAAAGCTGGCACTACGAGACCCGCTGTTCAGCGATTCTCCTGTTACACAGTTTTCTCACAAAATATTTAAGCAGTAATATATCGTGAACAGGATGTTACTTCTGGCTGAAAATTCTAATTTGGTATCAGGAGAGCATGAGCTTCGGAGTGGTGGCATGACAAAGCCCGCCGTTAAGCGGTTCTCCTGATACAGAAGTTTTTCGAAAAATATTGAAGCGGTAATATCTCGTGAACAGGAAGGTACATCTGGATGAAAATTCCAACTTGGTATCAGGAGAACATGAGCCTCGAAGAAGTGGCACGACAAAGCCCGCCGTTAAGCGGTCCTCCTGATACAGAGGTTTTTCGAAAAATTTTTAAGCGGTAATATCTCATGAACAGGATGATACAACTGGCTGAAAATTCCAACCTGGAATCAGGAGAACATGAGCATCGAAGGGGTGGCATGACAAAGCCCGCCTTTAAACGGTTCTCCTGATACAGAGGTTTTTCGAAAAATTTTTAAGCGCTAATATCTCGTGAACAGGATGTTACATCTGGCTGAAAATTCTAATTTTGTATGAGGAGGTGGCGGCGATAATGCCGGCCGTCAAGAGGTTCTTCAGATTCAGATGTTTTTCGAAAAATAATTAATCACTCGGTATTCCCGTTTATACATTTTCCGAAGAACCTCTTTGTCAGAAGAACCGCTTAACGGCGAGCATTGTCGTGCCACTTCCTCGATTCTCATGTTGTCCTTATGGTGCTTTCAAAATAGTTTCTAGTGGGAGTCTCTCAAATATTGTTATTCTTCACTGGAAGTTCGAATTTTTTTTTCAGTAGTTATTTTTCAAGGAATTAGTATTTGGTATGTTTTCCTACAGCCCTGTTAACTGATCAATTGATATAATTTTGTATTATATGAATTGGACTTTATTTTGTGAAGTTCTCAGCTTTATATTGTTTTGCAAAAACATTATTTTGAAATACAAAATCAATTACCAGGATTCTTTAATTTCTTCAACATTCCTCGCCTGGGCTTGTAACGTTTTATTTAATATAATTTTCCACTTCATTGTTGCTTTAATCATAGACGATGTATTTGGTCATATTTCGTCTTTGCTGTAGGATAGCTTTAAAAAATTAGTGATTTTTTTCCTGGTTGGTATGTCAGACTCTGTTATAGAAAATCTGATTTCATGTGTAATCTATTGTTTCATTAGTCAATGGTAGAATTGTACATGGTCGCTTTCTCTAGAAAATATGCACTCTCTGTACAGTCGGTAACGAAGTAGTATGAAAGTATTGTTATTGTCATACTGAAAAGAAATTTGCAATAACGAAAAAGGATAAATATTCAAACAGAAATAGCAACGATCGTTAGTTAGTTGAAGTAATATTCGTGATGTTTTTTAAGATCAGTATTGACAATTGGAATCAATAAATAATTTTTGTGAGTATGGCTTATGTGTTATTATTATGTGACAGGTTAGAAAATACATTAGTATGTGACAGGTAGTTAGGTAAATAAGAATAAATTAAGTATCAATTAGAAAAATAATAAAATATATAGAATTTAATATTATATTATAATATAATAATAATGCAAAAATTTCTAATTAAAATGTATTAGGTTGTTAAATCAATATATATAATTATTGTATTTCATTTTTTAATGAATATTTAAGTAATATTGAATATTTAAGTAATGCATTATCTATTATTTCACTAGGTATCTATGAGATTATGTAATATTAATATTTATCATTATATTACATGAGCTAATATTTCTTTAAAATGGTTACTATGTAAATTTTCAAATTTATATCAATGTAATATGATGTATTATTAATATATAATTTTAGATCATGACTGCAGTGAAGATTCATGGTGGAATTGACATTTTGAGACTTCCTGTTAATCAAGAAGAACATGTGTTTCATCCATGGCACATTAAATACACACAGTCGCATATACTTCATTCTAAATGTTCTAAAAGTGAAAATGGTTGTGGCAATAAGGATGCTGATGCCTGCCAATTTTGCATGTATATCACATAACTTTGATTATATATAAAACTATGGTAGATATATCACATAAATAATTTTGTAGTTTCAGCCACACTTTAGAATTGCCACACATGCCAGATATGGTATTCCCAAATAATATATTAACTTTAAAACACCAGGATGGAGCATTCATACAATTTAATGCATTAGATGCCTTGAAAACTGTATCAAATGGAAAAATTAATGTTCAGTTAGCGTGCGCAGAGGCTTGGAAAGAATCCAGGTAGAGATATATATTTTCTTGTTTATCAATATATTTTTTAATAATAACAATAGTAATAATATATGTACCTATACATTTTACAGATCAGAAAGCAGTGAATATTTAGAAGAAAAAGTAAAACCGTTTGATTGGACATTCACCACCACTTATACTGGGTCAATATCTCATTTTGAGATTCAAGAAACTAATGAACGGATTGATGTGGATAAATTAAAGAGAAGAGAAAAGATTCTTTTCTACCATGATTTGACATTGTTTGAAGATGAACTTCATGACAATGGCATTGCAGTTTGTTCTGTAAAAATTGTAAGTAAGTTTATATGAATACATTTATTTTTAAAAGGACAAAATATAACTAAGTTTGCTCTGTTATTATTTTTAATAGCGTGTTATGCCGAGTAGCTTTTTCATTTTATTACGATACTTCCTGAGGATTGATGGTGTAATGTTGAGGATAAATGATACACGATTATATCATGAATTTGGTCAAGATTACATATTGAGAGAGTACACATCAAGAGAAGCCAAGGTTGAAGAAATACGTGTAAGAAATTATTTAATATATATTTTTAATATCCGATAAAGTTATTATAACTATTCACAAAGAACCACCCATTGCAATATATTGTAATACATCAATGATTATGATATGCCTTTAAGATTCGTATCACCTCCGTATCGATGAAATAACATGTACTTTTTGTATCCTTTTCACAGCCGCCATTATTAATAAAATATGTTTGCTGTTCATATTTCTCCAGTTATATAATTTTTGCATAAACGAAATAAATATTCAAATCCAACATTTTACTTTCTTTTAGGCTCCACCATCATTGTTTGTTGAACCAAGCGAAATCGCATCATATTTGCCTTTAACTAGATGTTACTATCATAAACTGATAATGATGTCAAATAAAACAGAATCAATCACGAACGATGAATTATCCAATGAAGTAGTAACTGATAATAAGGCTAGTGCAAATACAAGTGAAACAAACAGTTCTGTTACTTAAAATCTACAGTTATATATAAATATATTACTGTCTAAAATAACCAAGAATCGTGCATTTATTGAAAAAAGAAAATCCTTATACTTTCAATATGACATAACAATACAGAAATCAGCGTGAAATCTTTCATTGTGTGAAATCTTTATTTAATTAATAATTCACAATTTTTAAATTTGATATATAATGTTCAACATATGAATAATGCATCTACAGCAATGTTTCAATAATACATATGTCTAATATCACAATAATTCTATTTTACCTCATTATTTAAGAATTGTATAGAAAATGTCACATTCTTATATAAAAATTCATTAATAAATTCATTTTAATTTCTATGTTTTGAAAGAAGAAACTGATTCATTCAAATTTTTATCATATCTTCGAACAATTGTACTTATACAAATAACTTTATTTATAAAAAAAATTTAGTTTTGCATTAAATAAATTTTCAAATATCTTGTCTTTGTTTTTTTCTAGGCATAAAATCAAATATACTGTATCTATTACATGTCTTATTGTTTAATATTTGATATTGCTTACTGTATGTTTAAAATGCATTTATACCTAATAAATATAATATTTGTATGATACTTTTATATCAAAGTTTTAACAAAAATTTAGACAAACCATACACCATGTAAAGTTTTTATTTTATTATATTAGGCATAACACACGTGTTGAAATAAAAAATCTGGCAGGAAGAAGTTTGTTACCAATAGAAAAACATTCGAAAGATTCTTTATTTTCAGCTAAATTGAATTTCGACGTTCGGCACTAGGGTGCGCTGTTAGGTCAATTTTAAAATTATAATTTCAGCGCTGATTGAATTTCAAAATCGAACAACTACAAGCATTAATTTGAAAAGATAGAGTATAAAGCAGACTGAAGTGAAAAAATTAATTATCTAAATTTTTGTTAAACATTATAAATGTAAATAAAATGAAAGTAAATAGAAACTAAAACCTTGAACATTAGTTTATAATCAAATAAACATACGCAACTTAAATCTTTTACTAAACTCATATTTACATACATGGAATTAACACTTATGCACTGTGTATCATTATAAATAAAATAACTAGAAGAGATATGAGAACATTCATAATGTTTTAGTATAAAACTACAAATATTTTTTATATTTAAATTATTTTATTAAAAAATTGTTATTTTATTGTCGTGAAAATGTGTAATTTGCATTAATTGAACATTTTTAGTATTAGTGAATGATAGTAACAATCAACATCAGCAATGTTTGCATTTATGAATAGCTGAATGATCAAAGGAACAGGCACACAGTGTTTTCTTCGGTTGAAACCGTAATTGCTGTTACCAGTCGTATTGTATCGCAGTAGACTACCACGGCTGAAGTCCCGCGTGCATTGTTCCTTTGCACACCGTCTGACCTTGGGAAGGTCACGCCTGTTACACGCACCTCGCATTCCTCGAATCCCCCGCGTTCCATTCTTCGCGGAGGCAAGCTTACTTCGATAAGCAATAACGTCTCATTTCATGCAGAACAGCATTCACATTTTTTGTAAATTATACAGCAGACACCACATTTCTTTTTCATTTTCTATAAGTTGAATATAAAACAGAAGTCTAATATTGTTACAAAAACATAAATTATACTTTCTTTGAAACATGTTTCTCGTTTTCAGATAACATGAACGACTTTCAATCAAATGGATTGTTTTTAAAAAAATCAGCAATTTGTATCTGTAGCATTTCACATGCATGTTTTAATAAACATTTCAGTACTGATACACGATATACGATATCGTAGAAATCAAGCAAACGCTACGATAAGATCCTATTCATTGGAAGTTTCCTATAGGTTAATTTGAAAAAAATTTATTATGGTGGATCCCATAATTTTGAAATATATTTGATCAGTTCATCTTTATGTAAGTAAAAGAGTCATACACTTTGTATCCCTTCAATTTCTATCTAAAACATTAGAAATAAAAATATCATCTCCCTTCCAGCTCGGCAAGTGGCGTAGATGGCGCCATGGTTAATCTTTCGGCCCGCGAAAAATTCAAAACACTTTAAAGTTTTAATTGCGAAATTTTGTATATCAAAGTATATAATAAGGAAAAAGATGTATAAATTTCTTTGATATCGAATCTCTATTGATTGAAAGGAACATTAAAATTTCTAAACACGACAAGGATGTACGGACAGATATTATAGTGGCAAGAAAACTGCCTTTCTTGGTTAATTTATCGAAATGAAAAAGTAAGAGAAGGAAAAGCGAAGCGAATCAATCGTCGATCGACCAACATTGTGACATCGTATCTGTGCCTGTAAAGAAACTTATGCAAAAACTATTGAGCTTTGTGACAATTAAAGAAGAAAACCAAGACAAGGTTTGGCGACAGCGAAGAGATTTTTTTAAATCAATAACTCTTATATCTAACGTAAAATAAGTAATGTACAATTTAAATAAAATTATTATTTCATTTTTAACTTCATCTTCATTTATACACTAAATTTTTTTTTTTGTAATTATTTCAATCATTAGTGTTCGATACTCGTTTATTCATTTATTTTCTTTTCAATATGAAACTTAATTTTAGAATGTTCGCATATATATATATATATATATATATATATATATATATATATATATATATATATAAATTGTGTCTGCTACTTGTGTTAACAAATTATATAAGATAACGTTTGTTTTTTCTTCTTGTTATACCCATTACTGACAAAATTACCGAGAACGGAAGCGAGCTCTCATACTCTCCTTCTATCTATGTAGCTTGTCTACTTCTCATTAACGACGAACCAACATCCGTTTGCGGTGCTCATTACAGCATTTATTACAAATTCAATATCGCGCTACTATTAGCTCACAAATATCAATATTATATTACTGTGAACAGGATTGCAAATAATTAGCACTACACATCGGAACAATATTTTTACGTTGAATTCTTGAATTCTTTTCAAAGAAAAGATCCTGAATAGATCATGTCGCTATTTCACAGATTAGCAATGTACTCGAAACACGACAAGAATCTCTGTGAACAAGATTTGAAGTTTTGCAACATTTCCTGATACGTTTAAAATAAATAGGAAATTATAAATGAACTTTAATACCTTTATAAGATATTTGTTCAGTTTAAAATGATTGGCAGTATGTCAACAATAAATATTATATGTTTAATAAATTGATAATGGTCTTATTTGCAAAATGTGTGATACCTGATATTTCCTTTGCTATTGAAAATTGACAGAAAATAGACATAATTATAATATGTAAATAAATACAACTAAATTTACAATTTACATTTACATTCTGTCATAAGATTTCGAATGTACTGTCTGGATTGCAACGGTGCAAACTATTATAGAATCAACGTTGCTAAAAAGTTATTAAACTAGGGAATAAAAGGATTAAAAGAAAAATTTCTCTAGAAAAGAGAGAGAGGGAGAGAGCTATAGCACGTTTAATTTCAATACTTGTCAATAATTGTCAAAAATTTAACGTACAAGTCGTTTTTATACACGATACAAGCCCTATTTTTGAACGGAAACTTTTCCTCTATTAACAGGACGCAAGAGGAAGTTTCGCGAGGTGTTCGTTCCCATCGCTGAGCATCGCTATCTCGCACACTGCCATGATGCGTAGGTGTTTCCGGCCGGCTGAAGCACGGGCGTCTGCCCGATCTTTCGCGCGCGCAAGAACGAAGAAAGAGTAAGAGAAAGAGAAGGAAAAGGAGAGGCAGAGGAGAAAGAGAAGAAGAGAGTGAAGAGCAAGAGAGAGGAAAGAGCAACACGAAGCGAGAAAAAGAAAGAAACAGAGAGAACGAGAGAGGAGAGCGAGCTGGCGAATAAGGGAGCTAGCGAGCAAAGAGAGAAAAATAGTTTACCAGCGGGTGAGTGAGTAGAAAAGCAGGATGCGAGTGGAAGGACGCCGGCCGTGGAGAGAGCGACCAAGAGAGAGAGAGAGAGAGAGAGAGAGAGAGAGAGAGAGAGAGAGAGAAAGAAAGAGGGAGGACATGCTCGGCCGGAAGCAGTTACTCGTGCGATGTAACGAAAATATCAGCCGTCCGTTTCGCAATCGGCCTACCCGCGTTCGCTGAGTTTAATATAGAACACTCGCACGCCCTGTCGCGAAAACATCACGCTAACCTCACTAACCGCACGCTGCTATCGTATTTATCGCGTCGTATCGAGGGAGAGAAAAAAAAAAAAAAAGAAAAACTTCGTTTCTCTCCGTCTGTACGATTCGATCGGAGCTGCGTGAACGAAAAGGAAACGTCCGCACAGTGTTCAGGTACTTCGGCGGATGCCAACGCACCAAATGCTGCATTTGAAATCTGCGTGCGCTTCCTCCAGCATATATATCGTGCCTTTGATATCTCTTCGCGACGTATCGATAAAATTCGATAAACAGAGACGATTGCGACTTGCGGATTTTTTTTCTATCCTTCGTAATCTTAATCAAACGAAGACTTTATGAATTTTATCTTTATTGAGACACGTTTTTTTTGGTGGAGGCGGGGGGGGGGGGGATGAAATATGTCGATCGTTTTAAATATACGCTTCCTTTCAACTCGATCGCGGATAACGTTCCGTGACCTCCCTGGTCACTTTATCTCTCTCTCTCTCTCTCTCTGATGCTAATAAATTTCGTATCGGTACAGTATTAATCTGCCTTCAAATCATAAATCATATTTGTGTAACCGACTGGGTCGTAGATCGGTTCTTTCTTCTTCCCTCCTTCTCTCTCTCTCTCTCTCTCTCTCTCTTCTCGTGACCTTGGCGCTTCCACTATCCTGACACGATAATAAACTCTTACGGCGGATTCCTTATAAAATCGTCCGCGTTTGCAGCTCCAGCGTTGTTTCCCTCTCTTCGTTTCGTCGCCGGATGCTTCGCTTTTAATTCCCCCGCCCGATAAACCTGATCGACCGTAAAAGCGTCCGACTGGTTCAGATACCACGTGAGTTCGTTCGAGTCGTTCAGAATTTCTCGAAACTCTCTCTCTCTCTCTTTTTCTCTTTCTCTTTCCCTCTTGGTTCG